AAAATCTTTGAAATGATTTTGTAGACCACATTGCATAAACTAATGGGTCTGCAATTGTTCACAGGATTCTCACATTTAGGGATAAGGGTGAAAATGTTTTATTTAGATTCCGATTCATTTTCCCAGAATGGAAGAAGGCCTTTATTTACACACCAAGTCCCCAATAATAGTCCAAAGGTTCTTAAAAAATAAGACAGTAGTACCATCTAGACCGAGGCCTTCAACTCTTTCACAGAGAGAGGGTATTATAGATTTCCTCGTTTGTAACTTCCTGACATAATTTGTTATTGGTTTCCTCAAAAGAACAATGATCAATATTGGAAATGAAGCTACCCACCTCACTAGTTCCTTCAGATTTAAACCTCTCTTCAAAACTCTTGCAAAAAAATTCTTTAATGTCTTCCTCATTTTTGATCCAGTCACTATTCTCATCCTTTATTTTCCTAATTTAATTTTATACCTTCTAGTGATAGCAATAGTATGAAAAAATTTGTTATTCTTGTCCCCAAGCTTGAGCAAATCGACTCTCAATTTTTGGGCCCAAAAAACTTCTTCACGCGAGAGGGTGATGTTCAGGAGTTTTTGGAGAGCTTTTTCTTTATTGATAAGTGCCACATTGTTTGGATCACCCTCCAACTGCTCTTGGACATTTTGAAGATTTTTGATGGTTTCCTCTTTTTTCTTTTTAATATTCCCGAAATGATATCTATTCCATTGTTTTAGTTCTTTAACAAGATTCTCTCTCTTTTTATTAATTTGGAAGGCTCTAGTACCACTAACCTCAATGTCCCAAGCTTTCCTTATCACTTCATCAATACTAGGATCTAAACACTACATGGCCTCAAAACAAAAAGGCTTTGGGCCCATTGGAGGTGGTGTCAAAGACAAGAGGAGTATGATCTGATCCCAAGAAGGGAAATTTTACAGTTTACTTGATGGAAATTCACATCTCCAATTAGCAATAGTGAGAATCCAATAAATTCTCTCTTTGGTTGAACTATTTTTCCAACTAAATTGAGAATCCTCCATCTCCATATTGATTAAATCACAATAATCTATTATTTGATTAAATTCTCTAATATGGTGAGGGTAAACTTTCTTACCATCTTTTTTGTTTTCATTACTCCTAATGAGTTAAAATCACCCATTAGGCACCCCACCCCATTGGTGTTATCAGAAATATCTTTTATCTAATTCTAGACCATATTTTGTTTAGTTTTACAAGGTGGACATAAATGAATGTATTAAACCAAGAGTTATTGGAATTCAAATCAGTGATAAGGGTATGCACTAAATGATCATTGGATAAAATAACATTAACAGAGCACAAAGATGAGTCCCACATCACCCAAAGACCCCCAACAAAACCAATAGACTCTACTAAATAATTCTTATCAAACTAAAATGAACTGACAATTTTCCTTGTTCTAATAGGGTTAATTCGAGTCTCCATAAAAAAACATATACCAGGATTATATATTCTAATTAGTTGCTGAACTTGCTGTTTAAGTTTGAACTTACCAGTTCCTCTTACATTCCATATTAAAATTTTCATTAATTCCATTAATAGTAACAGGACCATACTCGTCCTCAAATGTGCTTGGACCAACTTTCTCATTGGGGGCAAAAGCATTACCAGCTTCACTATTGTCGTGATCCTCCTACTCCGGATTCCTTTCTTGACCGTCCTACTCATCATCCATAGCCTCATCATTATCTCCTTCAACCTTGCCAGTGCTAGCTTCATCATCAATGTCCTCCCTAGTCCCAAAATGCACATCCTTGCCTTTGTTCATAGTTTGAGGCTGGATGAGACATTCATCATTCTTATTCTGATGAGAACAGTCAACTGGGTTGATTGATATGTTAGTTTTCCTCACCCAACGTTGATTCTGTGTCACTCCCATGAGCCGAAAGTATAGTAGCATGACTCGAGTTAATGAAACGGGTTTGAAATTTTTTTGCTTGTTCTTGTCTTTGGACTTTCAAGTAGTCCCAATTAGCTGATTTCTTGGTGCCATGGTAAATCCTAGATCTCTCCCCACTAAGGGTGTCAACTGGCCCATTTTGGATTGGATCCAATCCGATCCAAACCTTATTAAATCGGTTTTGGATGGTCCATTATAATTATTGGATTGGACCAATCCAAAATAAATTGGTCCATATTCTTATTGGTCTGAGTTGGACCTAAACCAAATTTACAATAATTTGATCATAAGGCTAAGCCCATGTCCAATTTGAAACTGATCAAAATTAAAGCTGGCATAAAATCACTTTTATGAAAGTACTTTTACGAAAGCACTTTTATGAAAACGCTTTTATAAAAACACATTTATAAAAGTAATTTTATGAAATGTACTTTTACGAAAGCGCTTCTACAAAAATACTTTTACGAAAGCACATTTTATAAACATACTTTTATGAAAGCACTTTTATAGAAGCAGTTTTATGAAAGTACTTTTATACGAAAGCACTTTTATGAAATCACTTTTACAAAAGAACTTTTATAAGACCACAAAAGTACTTTTTACAAAAACACTTTTATAAAAATACTGTTACAAAAGTACTTTTATAAAAGTACTTTTACAAGCTATTTTCTTTTTCTTCAATATGTTCTTTTGCTTTTACCTCCGCGTAAGTTATTTGTGTTCTCTTTGCATAATTTTGCCCTTAGGCCCATCATAGTTTCATTAAGGCTATGTTTGGTTTGAATGAAAAGGTTGGAATCAAAGGATTCCCTACCTTTTCTTTCAAACCAAACACAGCCTAAGGGTCTCTTGCAACAACCTATGGAGGCATTTCAGTTCTTTCACTCTTCTCTATAAGATCAATATTTGAAAGTATTTCAAGATCCTCCTGTTTTTTAATTTGGATAGTCCCATGTTTTCCTCCATGAGTTGCAAAGATCAAGTAAATTACTGAGTTTATTTTTGTTGTGTTATATAATCTGGATATTCCATGTTATTTTCATGTCGTTTTATTCTTGCGGGACTTTTTGCAGGTTAGGAGTAGTTAAAGAAACTTATGTTATTTATCTCACAAACTTATGTTATTCGTTCACTCTTCACTCGATGTTAAAACTCTTATCTTGCTAACATCTAGGCTATTTATTTTGCTTTTCTTGAAACTTGGATAAAGGAGATATTCTTTTACTTATGAAAATTAAAACTGAAAGAAATAAATTGATGGCTTGAAGTCTCCACGGTACTGAACTAAAACTGGAAATATGGTCACTTTAGATTTTTGCTTCATAGAGAGTTCAGTTGTATAAATTTTCATATTTTTTGGCATATGTTTGGATAAACAGTTTTGATTCTTATGTTTCTTCTCATTTTTTAATAATTAATTATGCTTTCATTAATGGAACTTATTATATTCACGTGTGCAGGACATTGCGAGGTAATGGCATAACTGGTGAGAAATCAAAGGAGTTTAGAAACTTGTCTGGTTTGACACGCTTGGATTTGCAAGGTAGCCATTTAACTGGTGAGATATCAATAACTCAAAAATGGGACTGGTAATTCAAGTATTGGACCCAAGAAATTTTACTTAATGATGCTGGCCTATAAGATTTTTGTTCAGTGTTTATATCAAACTTGAATTGAATGCTACAGATGTTTAGCATACAGAACTTTAAGAGTAACTAATTGTTATTTGTTCCTAGCAGCCTCTTTAATTCCTTTTCCACTCTAGAAAATGTGTTCAATTAATGAGTATGATATATTTGGATTATTTTCAGATCCTATCTCATTTCTTGGATATCTGCTTGCAGCATTTGAAGTCCTATTAAAGTGCCTTGGTTTGCAGTACCACAGAGAGAAAAGCTCTTCTCGACCTGAAAAAAGGGTTTCAAATATCCTTCAAATGGCTCTCCTCTTGGGATTCAAACAACAAAGTTGTATTTGTGAAGGGATCAAGCAAGCGAGATGAGGTTTGATTTTGAAAAACTCCTAAAATGGCATTGTGAAGAGAACATTTCTTGTACAAACAAAGAATTTATAAAATTGAAATTAAGATGTATTTATGATTCAAATATTTTGAATGGAGAATGGGTTTTTAAATTTTATTTGTAATCGATATTTTTTATTTTTGTATTTCATTTCAATTTAAGTGAATATAGAGAAAACAGGTTATTTGAACCTAATTAGAAAAAAAAAAATTAAAAGAAAAGGTTATATGAAAAAAATTGCTTTAGCGGCAATTACTACTGCCGCTAAAAGTATTTTTAGTGGCAGTTTGGTATTTGTATTGACAGTCTTGAAAAGCTGCCGCTAAAACTTCTAGTGATAGTTTTTTATTGACTGTTTGCCGGCTGCAGTTAATGTCTCTAGCGGCAGTTTTAGGGACCTTTAGCGGCAGTTTTGACTGCCACTAAAAGTTATTTTTCTTGTAGTGTTAATTATGTATACCCCTTACTCTCTGGTATTAGAAACCCTACCAATGTGTCTACTTCCGAAGGCTAATAGGATTATCACATTAGAAGACCCCAGGCATTTTGTACAAGAAAAATCCAGTACATGATAGAGAATAGTTATGCACAATTTCCAACTGGAGGGAATGGTATTTTCTTGTACAAAGTAAATACAAATGGAGTTATAAGCATAAATTTAAAATCTTGATTACTAACCCAACTTGGTTATGGATTTGGTGATTGGGTCTCATGTTTGGGAAGACTACTGTCGTTGAGATCACCTTTTCGGCGTCTTTCAGTCTTTTGTTCCGCTTGCAGTGGTTTCACGTACCAGTTGGTGCTCAATGATTTCTTCTGTTTCATCAACGATTAAGTAGCTGCTTGGTGATGGTATTTATAGTTGTTTACTTATCACTTTGTTCTTAATTTTCTTGCTGTTTGTAGCATTTTTCTTTTTTTTTTTTTGAAGCGAAAAGGCAAATTCATTCTATCATCAACAGTTCTTGCAGATCACCTGGCCCATGAGAGAATTCAAAAGGAAATCTGGTGTAGTGTTCCGGATATGATGACCCGCATGGGAGATAGGAAATTGAGCTAAAGTATAAGCCACTTTATTACAAGATCCGGGTGAAAAACAAAAAGAACATTAAGATCAGGTTGCACACTGATTGATAAAATTGCAGAACATATTTTGGCTTCTACAAAACAAAAAACAAAGAGAAAAAGGAGAAACAACGTCGACCCAGTTTCATTTCTAGCTATGATATGCCTGGGAAGCGGCGTAAGGAGGGTAGTGGTTGGTGGTGGAGGAACTTTTCTTCCTTGAGAACAAGAGATCTCCCACAAGAGGAATTATAGGCTTCTTCTTCAGCATCTTTCTTTGCTCCTTGCTTATTCCAAAATAACCTTCTTGGTCCAAAACACTTAGTACTTCAGCTAGTGATGATGAGTATTCCATCCTTGGTATTGGGTCCTTTGTAATCTCTTCTTTACTTATACCATCCCGCCGACAACCTCTCTCTCCTGTTACCGCTTTCCCTGAAGCGGCAGCCTCGGCCTCTGCCAACTTAGACATGTTGTCGTGAAGTTCTGCATTCAGTGAAGCCAACGCTATCACGGTTTCTGACTCCTTCTCCTTCAGCGATTTTAGCTCTCGTTTCGTTTCCTCCAGTTCAGCTTCCAGCTTCTTCAATGCATTTGCCAAAGAAGACTCGTCATCCATAGCAAGCCTGTGATTCGATAATGGAGGCGAAGCTGGTGATAGCTGCAGGAACGTGGTTCGTTTTGTTTCCCTTTTGGGACTTGTGCAAGGCTTTTGATCAGAAGAGTTGATCTCATTATGTAGAAACAGCTCACCGAAGATTGAGATGGCTTCCTTGACTGAACGAAATGGGCGAGAACTATCAACCATGTATTGATTATTAATGGACGTATCCTCGGAGGGTTGGGTTTCCATGAGTGGGAGAGAGGAGTTTACCGAGTGAGCATGTGTTCTCAGTGAGAATAATGATGAATGCAGAAGAGGTGCAAATATTTGATCATGGCTAGCTGTTGGTTTTCTTTGCTTGCACTTCACAGTAAGACAGACGAGTATATGAGAGAGAGATATAAGTGGTTAGAAACTCTTGTTTGAAGGTAAAGGAACAGTAGATACAATGATGTTTGGTGGTTTTGGGGACTTGGGGAGACACGATCACGCAACTTACGGTTAGATTGTGATCCACTGTGAAACAGAAGCTAATCTTGAGCGTCGATTAATTAATGAAAGTTTGTTCGTACAGTTTGGTTGATCACTGATTAGTGATTAAGCATGCAGTACATAGCTGTTGGTGGTGTTTTAGTAAATTGAATAATTCCTAACTCCTATAAATATCCTTGCACTCCTTCGTTTTCATTCCATAAATTCTCATATTTTTTCATATTTTCATATACTTACGTACTCTTTCATACATTTTCATACACTTTTATCTTCCTTTTCTCCTTTTCTCCTTATTTCCTAATTCTCAATTTTATTCTAAGTTTTAATAATAAAAAGGTTTGTTCAATTGTCTAAAGATAACAGTTTGGGAGGTTTAAAAGTTTTATTAGTTGAAATCAAGTTAGAATAGCACATTGTTGGACTATGTAAGTATAATTAGTTTTCATTTTTTCTAAACTTAGAATTTTAATATTTGAAATTTATTAAAACGGTCATTTTTTCTCAAAACCATTATCTTACAATTTCGATGGCGTCCAATCATAATATCGAAGTAGATGTCAATAGCAGGTACCAAGGAATTGGATGACAAGAAAAATTATATGAATAATGAAGGCTTGGAAATATGCCTGGTTTTGAAGGATTGGTTAGATGTAGAGGACAAATTGAAAGGTCGGACATATAATAAATCAACTAATGATTCACTAAATGGTGCGAATCAAGTACAATATTTTTTACAATATTCAATAATTGAACAATATTTTTAACATTATTGCAAATTTTGATTTTCAATTTTATTTGAAAGTTATTTATGATTTTCCAATCTCAATTTCATTATTATTCTTTTCCAAATTACATTATAACTTTTTTCTAAATTTAATTTATTATTTAATATATGTTTAATTGATTGAATAAATTGCATACATTAAATTTTAATGAAATAATTTTTTTAAGACTTTCTTTTGAATTTGATGTATAATTTGTTAATTGTTTGTGTTTTTGTTAATTTTTATTTTTAATTTTCTATAATTTTCTCTAAGCAAACAAAAAGAGTAAAAAAAGATTGGCCCATGGGCCTACCTGGCCTGGGATGGGCCCACTAGGGCTCGGGCTGTGTTGGGCTTCCCTCTTGAAGAATTCATGTCGAGAAGGTAGGGAAGGATCCACTATATTGTGGGTGGTCGACAAAAATGGCTAGCACAACCCACACTACAACTCTACTGCTTGAAATCATTAAAAGTAAATTTCCAAGATTACAACAGTCAAAATATTTTTTGAGGAATTAGGATCTCCTAATAATACATGTCCCAACTCTTTTCCAACATGATTTGACACCGCACACCTTACCATGAACCTAAGGAGTTCACATCTCTGCCCCACAACACATCCCTGTCGTGTATTGGGAACATCTCCCGATGATAGTACCAGTCTCGATGATGTCATCATCGGGAGATGTTCCCAATACACGACAGGCATGTGCTGTGGGGCGGAGATGTGATCTCAAACCTAAGACCCACCATAAAATTGGAGCTCGCCATGCATGAGATGTGTGGTGTCCATTGGTGTTGAAAGGGTGTTGGAACATGTTTCTTTAGCAAGAGAATTGGGACCCATAATAAAATTGGGAGCCCCCATCTCATGCCCACAAAACTCATTCCATCACCTTTATAGTTTGATTTGACATGGCACATCTCATCATGAGTCTATGACCCACCATAAAATTGGGGCCTGCCATGTAAGGGTAGTGCCAAATCATTGTGTGCTCATAGAGACTGAATCTGCTCCTCACACCTGGCACCTCACATGCACATCCTATCATGCATTGGGAACATCTCCCTTACTTATTAGTTATTATTTACAGGAGATGTTCCTAATGCACGGTGGATGTGCCTGTGAGATGCCCATTTGTGAGGAATAGATCAATAGTGAAAAAAAAACCCCAAACTTGGGATAAGTGGACTGAAATCCACCTCAGAAATTTAAAATTACATCCCCCCCTATAAACCGCATCCTGCCCATAAAGTTGGCATCAATCCACAGGCAGGATTCATCTGGCATATACGATGGGGTCAGATTTCTGAGGTAGACTGAACAATAAAAACCCCAATAAACTTTTGCTCCTATTATAAAAAGAAAATTGTCCAAAATCATGGTGAATGATAGGGTCACTACCTCCTTGTTTCTAAATAGTTTTGTACTTTTGTGATGAGGTGGCTTCAACATCCACGGTGAATTTGATTGTTTCCTCTTTTATAACAAGAGTGAAAGCTCCAAAATGTAGCTTTTTGTTACTAGAGCTATATATGATCACCTCACAACTATCTTAGTAAGCCGCAAGACCATAGTGAGAGTATAATGGTTTTGACTAGGGGTACATATTGGTGATGGTGCAGCTTGAAAAGTTAAAACAATGGTCATCTCTAATTCAATCATGCATCTAAGCCATTATACCTTAAACATGTATTTCATGTAATTTCCCTTTCTAAAATGTTGCTATTTAATCTTTTCTTTGAACGAAAGACAATAATGTGATTTGAAGGACCTATACAAATGAAGTAGATACTTCTTCAAAGAAAGAATAGGCAAGTCCTCTACCATTTATCATTACCATAAGCTTCAATAAATCATTCTAATTTGGCACCTTGACCACTTCGTTTCACACATTTGATCTAGCAAGCAATGTACTTTGCTTTGTTATCCATGTATCCTAGGCAAGAGTCATTGATTGTTCTTCTCTTTAAGACCATTGTCGAAAAAGAATTTGGTACGTCTATCAAATGCTTCTAATCAGATAATGGTAAAGAATAATTTAAAATCCATTAATACATGGATTTAAATGGTATTGGATGTCTATCATCTATTCTGCCCACACAACTAAGTGTAGAATTCTATAGTAGAAAGACCTCATTGACATACAGTGGAACATGGCCTTGCAATACTCTCTTGTGCCTCGGTCCCTCACTCTTATTGGTGGGAAGCTTTTGCAACTATTGTTTATCTCAGGAAAAGAACTCCGTCTCAAGTGTTGGAAGGACTTAAATCTTAATTAAACACCGCCTAACCTGTTACAGTTGTTGGCTGAATTTAAAAAAAAAAAAAAAAAAAAAAAAAGCCCAAGAACCAATTTCTTGGTATTTTGAAATCTGAATTTCTAGATCGAATCTGTACGAAACTTGGACCAAATTTGAAAGAATAATTAGAACTGAACATACTTTATATGGATTCCATAGATTGTAGCACCTAGAGTGGTAGTTCACACCTAATATCACACCTAAATCAACCTCCAATTGAAAATGACACAATTACATGTGAAGTCGATTCAGCAATACTCTTCTAGCCAATTTAAACTCCAACTGCTTGGGATTCGACACAGCTAGATGAACCGCCTTTTCTTTGAAGTTTTTCTTTAAAAACACAGTAAGGAGTTGATGGGAATTGGATTTTTCTATGCTGGTTTGAACTAGGGTTTTGGGTGCAAGGGAGAAGAGAAAGAGAGCAAGAGAGTGGAGAGAATGCAAGGTTTGCCCCCTTCTCTCTAATCCCTTTTATAGAGGTCTCTCTCTTAATTAGATTAGGTCTTAATCAAAATCAGATTTGGATTAGGACTTAATCCTCTCATTAGAATGGAGTTCTATACCCATTTTCATACCAAATTTGACGTATACCACATGACAACATAAGTTGTCTTGACCTCTTTAATTAGTCCTACTAAAAATTGGCTTAGGCCCATTATCTTTAATGCTTCATATACATAGGCACTACATTGCTTCTTAGGCATGATTATTGTATGGTGTCGGACCCAAAAAAGTCTCATACATGTCCATATGAGTTCATCCCATATTTGGAAAGAGACAAGCCAAATTCACTACACAAGGGAAATTAACCCCTCAGCCAAACAAGTTGGGCTCAGTTTAGGCCCATCACTTAAGTCTAAGTGATCCTTGGGTTCAACCACCCTATGAAACCCAAGGACAACGAACTGATGTGAGATAAAGCCCATCAGGTTATCATCCTTCTAATAGTCTCTTGCCCTTAATCTCTCAACCATAAATAATAAAAAATAGTATTCACATAGAAGAACCGATTTCTTAGTATTTTGAAATAGGAATTTATAGATTGAACCTGCACAAAACTTGGTCCAAATTTGAAACCATAATTAGAACTGAACATACCTAAAAGGAATTCCCTAGATTGTAGCTTCTATAGTGGTAGTTCACACCCAAGATGACATAAATCGACATAAAATTGAAGATGGCACAACTATATGTGAAGTCAATTCAGCAATACTCTTCTAGCCAATTTGAACTCCAATTGTTTGGGATTTGGTGCAGCTATGTGAACCTCCTTTTCTTTGAAGTTTTTCTTCAAAAACACAGTAAAGAGTTGATGGGAATAAGCTTTTTCTGTACTTGTTTGAAATAGGGTTTTAGGTGTAAGGGAGAAGAGAGAGTGGAGAGAATGCATGGTTCATCCCCTTCTCTATAATTCCTTTTGTAGAGGTTTCTTTCCTAATTGGATTAGGTCTTAATCTAAATCATATTTGGATTAGGACTTAATCCTCTCATTATAATGGAGCTTTGTACCCATTCCCATATCCAAATTTGATCTATATCACATGTTTAATGGTTCACATACATAGGCATTACATGACTTAGGTAAATATTGTATGATGTGGGACCCAAAAAGGTCCCACACAAGTCCCTATGAGTTTGTCCCATGTCTGGAAAGAAATAGGCCAAATTCACTGCACAAGGGTAATAAACCCCTGAGCCAAATAAGTTGTATTCAA